TTGACTACCGTTTCCGTCTACCTTGTTATCATTCGTCGTTCTATGCTCAGGTTGCCTGATGTTTCGAAGGCAAGCGGATCTTGTGTCTGTGGCCCTCTTGCGGCGGCCGATCGAACACTGTACTCTCTACCGCCGCACAACATCTCTGCTTCTCTCGTTGCCTACCCCCCCCTCGTTATCGCTTGCGACGGAAATTGTGTCATGCATTTGTCAAAGCCTAGAATCGACAGATCTGGCAATCATCCTCTACTCGCCTGAAGTCTGCCCAGTTCCATGAACGGGTTGGAAGCCGATGTAGATGGTTGCCTATTCTACTACAAGAGGGTGAGACACCCGTCACTATTTTACCAGTGAACTGGAGCACGTTCACAGATTTATTACATACCTAGGGTGACTTACTGGCGCGCAGCGGTGGATTCGAATAAGTTCTCTCGGGGCCATGATGGTCCTGCGCCTTCAAATTCTTGACAATTTCTGGGAATTGTTGGACAAAGGGGCTGCGATTGAAAGTCAAGATATCATGTACGATTGAACGTAGGAACGCGGTCAGTAAAAGTGGAAGTATGAGGATTCGGAGATTCTCGGCTTTGCGTCATCTTTGGGTGTTTTCCATGATGGATTTGTTTCAGGAAAAGACTGTAGGGCGCAAGAAGTCCCTCATTGAGATTAATTCGATCGTATTCCTAGCACGTGTTACACTTGACTGCTGGACAAGGCGTATCTATCTATTTGTCTCAACCGGTCAGGACTACTCCTTCAGCAGATCGTCATTAGCCTATAGGCGTATACCCTATTGGATAGGGCTGTATGCCTACTAAACAGGGGCCGTACGCCTAGCAGCTGCATATTATAAACCAGTGATTTAAAAGCGAGCCGAAAACTTGCTTATTCGGCTAACTTTTTTGCTAAGCCTGGCAGTAAGATTTCTGACTGCGCTACTTAATGCGTAACTCCTTTTCAATTGTCTAGTACGGGTTGGTGCAAAGGCAAAAATAGAACCTGGACCGCATCGCTCAGCAGGCCTCCTATTTCCACCTCATCTCTTCCCATCGTAACGGTTTGCTGTAGAAAGGCATGCGTATATCCATTGCTCTTTACCTCAAACACCCTCGGCTCTGACAAGGGTCTTTTCGACATGCGTCGCCGGGCTTTGGTAAATTCCTGCTGCTCACCGCCTTCCTGTTACCTATCTCCCTACCCAATGCCTTCATTACTCCGGATCAGTACTCGTCAAAACACCTCTTCCAGCAAAAATAGCCCCTCCGACCTGCCCACTGATCGTGTAGTTCTTGCATTGCTGCGTCCGTATCCTGTTGCCACCTCTTGTCTTGTCTTGACCCTCCACTGTAGCCCAGAGCCCGCTCTTTGGCACCGCCTATGGCCAACTATCGGTGTAGACGTGGAGGCTCGATGCCAGAAGAGGTGTTTTAACCGCGGACAGCATCGATGGAATGGGTGGAGGCGTGGTGGATCCGCACCGCCCGTGCTGTCGTTCGAGCTCTGTATACGCTGGAGGCGTGTTGGAAAGAGGTATGATGACGGATACCATCGGCCGTGGAAGGGATCTTGTATGCGCCCAAATGCCGGAGATGTCTGCCGGAGTCGAAGCTTTTCGTACGTCAGGGGCTCGGGTTTGCGCTGGTCAGTGGTGGCAGGTAGGCGGATGAAGCGCAGACTGGATAGAGCGAGGGTTGATGCGAATGGACCTGTGCGAAAGAACTGGTGAGTTCTCTATCATCAGTGCAGTACTTTGGATGTTGCATTAGAGAAGAACGTGGTAGCGTGTGTTGTGGTTGCTCTTTCAGCGAACGAGCGCGATTGCCTTATTGAGATTCCGTACCTTGGAAAGAGTTGAAGAAAGCGCAAAGCAAGTTCTAATCAAAGGAAGAAAGCTAGGAGTGATCGTAATGACTTAAGAATGTTGAAGAGTAAGATCTAAATGCGTTGCGGTAATTGGAAGTGAGGTTTTTATTATTTAATATATATTCCGAAATAGCGGGTTTTCCTTCAATCGTCCAGATCGTATGGCTAGCTGAGGAGTAGCTAGAGACCTCATACACTGGCCACATGTTCAAAGGTCGCGCTAATCGTGCGGACATGATTAGTATCAAGCAAGCCTTTACATTGTGCCTCCCGAAAGTGAAAGATGGCAATGACTGAAAATCTCCATGAGCCTGAATTTCCTGTAGCATCCACCCTCTCAGAGAGGCTGCGATGTGAGTCCTTTTGCTATTTTCAATTCCTGACTGTCGGAGATGGAGTTTAGGAGCTGAGTTCGATCCGGGTAGAGGACCGTTTTTTGAGGGTGGGATTTTTGTTTGTTTTTTTTTGTTCCTTATTCACAACAAAAAGGAGCTGTCAAATGAACTGATGAGCCCTTTCTTGCTTCCACAAGGCAGCAATGAGCTTTACAGACACTCGATCCTTCCTTTGTTTGCCCGACATTGCTACTTTTGCTGCATTTGTCGACCCACTGTCTAGAAGGACTTGGTACTCCAATCCCTTTCCTTACAGCCAGCCGCATCAAAAGCCCCAGACCTGTATCATTCAGTACTCATACAGATGGACCTGCAAAAAAGCTGAAGACTACGATGAGCATCATCTCCAGACACTCAGGAATACGCCCTGACGCAAGAACATCAAGCGCAACAGCATTGATTTCTGGGCTTGGCTTGGACTTGACATTTGAAATTCTTAGCCGTCAACACATTTCACGGTACTCGACATTCGCACCTCAAGGTTCTCTCGAAACTGAAAAAACAAGACTCAATCACCACGCCGACCTGCCTTCCACTCTTTCTGCTTTTCCTACTCTCGAGTTTCCTGCTGCGCTCACCTGGCTGATCGCTCTTGCCTTGTCTGCTACTTTGCCGCTTTTTGTGGTTCGCATCTCTACATTCGCCAAACCTGTCTTGACTCATGAGGCGGCCTTCTCTGTACGATTCTCGCTTATCTGTCGCTCATAGTCCCAAGGAGATGGTGAGCTCGTCCTGTGCACAGCATGAATCTTGGTCCGAATATGCCTATCATGTCCATCCCCTTGGTCGCAGTCTTCGGGAAAGCACCGGATATTTTCATGTCGATGACACATTTCGCGAAGCATTGTACCAGAAATTGTCTTGAACGGGATCTTTGTCCTAGATCTTAAATAAAGAATATGTCTGGGCATGGGATGTTAAAGACGAAATTGCCAGAAAACACGGGACTTCAATCACCATTGCCCGAAACTGTACATCCAGAGATGCCGAGCATAACAGGCTGAGAATCGTAGGCTCATATGCGATAACCTCAGGGTAACTGTCTCTGAGCTCTCAACAATCAGGTCTGCGCATCGCGCTACGAGGCTCATGATACTTGAATCTAGCTCGTGAGCATTTGATGCCATTCTATCTAAGATTTCGGGATCGCACGTCGGATGTCTTATCTCAGCTAAGAGAACGTGATCTGACATCCATCTCATCGTTCAACCTACCGTCACCAGAGCGTTTCCTTGCCTTCCCTTCACTCATCAACCATCTTCCTTCCTTACACGCCCTTCGGAATCAAATCCACCAGCGCACAGCTAATCGGCAGCCTATTCGCATAAGAATGAATAACTAGCCAGAACAGCTGCGGGACTCCATACCACCAATCACAAGCTGTCGAGGCTCGTCAGTCCTTGATCGCATCTCGGCCACGCCTCTGATCATGTTGGTCACGGCCAAACCCCTATCAAGGCAGGTTCATAGAAGAACCGTGGTTCGTTAGTCCTGAGGGGTCGGAACCGGACAACCCGTTTCGCAGCCAGCCAAAGGCAATCCGTAACGCACTTTAAGGAGTTTTCATGTCTCTGATTTCGATGAACATTCACAAGATTCACAGCTGCCTGTTCCTCGCCGACAGGTTCGCACTTTCATGCCAGACACAACATGATGGCTTTGGCTTTGCTTTGCCAGTGCATAATCTCGTGTCTAATCTTGAAGCAGAACCTTCTCGTACTTTCGTAAATGCTTCGAGCATAACAGGCAAAAATTCCTATGCTTATATATATAGTATCGTCAGGCACAACAGTCTCGGATCAGTGGCGAAGTTTACATCGACCGTGTGACCGAGGAGTGAACAAGACTCAGGGCCCTTGCAGTAGGACTAATTAACTTCCGCGGCATACTTTATTTTCCTAATCTACCGAGCGAAAATTAACATCGGTCGCTCTTGCTCGCCAGACCATTCACGGAAAGGCACCCCCAGAAGACTAGTATACAGTTCTATGCCTGTTTGCAATACAGCGAAACCTACAATCCTGAGGTGTTGAGGCCCTCGGATTGCGTGGAATGTCCTGATTGCTTTGGCCTGAACGGACCCGCAGATGTGCCATGTAATTCTGGGTGTCCGTCCGCAGAACAGGTGGTCGGGATTGAGGCTAAGCAACGATGTAAGGAACGTCAGTTTAAGCTACAGGGAAAGCCGGGAATGCGAATTGTACTCTATCTTGGCGCAAAGAAAGGTGGAGATGCACGGAACAGTCAGCAATTATGGGATCTTTCCAGAGGAGGGACTAAAGCTCAAGTCTCGCATGGAAGATGGCGGCATGCATCATGCCGAAGGATGGCATATGAGCTCGGATGGGAGAATGTATGGAGAGTTTGTGAAAAGCTGGAGTTGAGGAGCAAAGAAATCATTCGATGGGCTTGAGGTTCTTGAGGTTTATGGGTTCAATACAATAGTATGTGTCATCGTTTCTCCCATCTTTTACATGAACAGGGAGAATTGACTTATTGTTGCCATCCAAGCAAAAGCCTTGCGCCTTTGAAATACGCTTTGGGAAATTGTTCCCCACGGGTTTCTCTGCGCTTCATTTCTGCGTGGAGCGGAAGTTGCTCTACACGTCGCCTATAATACAGTAGCCGACAGCAATGGATGAAGCGCCTTGATACTGCTCCGTCGGCTTTGCTTTGCTCAACAAAAGGGCTAACAATCCAAAATTATTCAAATCCTTTAGCCCAGGCCCGCCTCTGACAATAATGTTCTCAAAATCCGTCCTTGTCTTCATGTTTCCGCTCGCGCTGACGTTCGCAAGCCCGCTACAAGATGCCGGAGATCAAACGATACAACTCTCGTCTGTAGATTTCCGCTCGCCTGCAAACCTGTCTGACGATGAAACTGCAATACGGCTCAACGTATCAAACGAGATACGGATCCAATGTGACGGAGAAAAATACGGCTTCAATCCCGACGTTGGCGACTGCGAGAATGCCAGATCTTACTACAAGCGCTCTTCAACGCCTTTTACTTACGGAGAACGCCATTCTGGCCACGGGATCAACGTCTTCCCACTCCCTTACCGACTCATGGGAGGTATGCTATCAGAGTCCTCGAATTTCTTCACCAGATTCTCCCCTAGAAATGGTCGCGCTAAGACCCATGGCAGACGAAGCGCTGTGCTACCTCGAACCGGTCTTGATTGACAGCTCATTGGGGACTGGCGTCGCCAGCATCAATCAACTCAGCAATGCCGCGTATGAGTTGATTTTGCAATGTGCGGTGAGGCAGTCCAAAGGCGGAATCGCAACTGGAATAGGTACGTCGCAAAACTTGAAATTCTGGCGGGTCCAGTATCTCGTGAATCAAAAGCTGTGTGGGTTGAGAATTAGCTGTAAAGCTCACACTCATCAGGAGGACAAAACATGGCAGTTGTCCTTGGTACATATCACCCGGATGTGCAGTGTCGAGGAACCTTCGGCCCATGGGCCTCGTGCAGGAGTATACTAGGTGACATGCCTACTCTCGCGGCAACGGAGATCTTCGGTCCACCAGAGGATCTCACGGTCCAGGTTCCTCTTCCACAGTTTTTGGAATCCAGTCAGTAATGCCAGTCCCGTTCTCTTATGCGAGGCTCACTCTAACAAGTGATGTTCGCAGGTGATAGTAAGTGCATGATGCGAATCTTTGGCAGAGGGGGTCGAGACATCACATCGTGGTTCAAGGTCTGGGAAGCCGCCACAGCGGTGTATGCGGTCTGTGTGAGGCATCAGAAAGTAGGGAGCTTTCGAGGTCTCGGTCAGTGGCTCCCTTAGTCTGGTGATTCCCGTAAAACAATGGCTGATGAGGGCTTTTAGGCGAGCTGGGAAACATTTTCTTTACTATGACTGCCCAAACACCTAAGCTAGGTAACTTGTCCACGACTCCAATGTCTACCGATGATGCTCTCTCCGAAGTTTGACGGGTTTCTTTACCGTTAGTAGAATGTGGCATTGTCGAAAGAGTCCAGGTTGAAAGAAACAATTTTTTATTTTGTTTCAAGAATGGCAAAAGGACAGAAGCATAGACAAACAGACCTCAACCGTAGGTAGAAGGTTGAAGACAATAAACAGCACGTTCTTTGGTGTCTTCCGTACGTGATATTACGTGCAGCAAAAGTCTTGATCGGACGAGGGATATCTTTCCCAGCAGCGGTAACAGCGTATGACGCTGTGATGCCGCCAGACCTCATTCCTCAGTGCCGAGAGAATAGCTCAAAGCCGAGAGACTAGTTTTAATCGTTGATCTTTTCACCTGACTCTCACCCTCAACAAACGCATCCACTACCACATCTGAATCCCCTCATCTATCATCAAGTTCAGACGCACAGCCATTAAATCATCGCATTGAAGCACAGCTTTGGCATCTTCTATCTCCACACATTTGAGGGTCCGCCACCGCAGACATGAATCACATCAGCTTCCCTTTGGCCGCCTACCTGCCACTCCACCGTGCCAGGATGCCGCGACAGAGCACCGACGACATCGAGCTGGGCCTTATCATCAACGCAGCCAGCCACGCCAACGAAGCCAGCCCCACGTCCGAAAGCGATCCCACCGACCCCTGCCGTCTTCTCACCCTGCCCCTCGAGCTCAAAACCCAAATCTACGGCTTCGTGCTCATCCGCTCCAACAAGGTCACCTGGCAGGGGGAATACATGACCGGATCGTCGCCCCCGCACGCAAAAGCCCAGAAACACATCTGCAACGAGCCGCAAGACCCGGACCACCTCGAGGCCGACGACGGCAACATCTCCGCCCTGCTCCTCACCTGCCAAACCATCAACCGCGAAGCCTCCGCCCTGTTCTACCGCGACAACGACTTCGTCTTCAAATGCCGCACCCCACCCCCCCGCCCCCGCCTCGCCCACTTCTCCCCCTCTGCCTCCTCTTCCACCCGCTCCCACACCCTCGCCTCCGGCCTCCCTCTCGCCTTCGCGAACCAAGTCTTCCGAGCCAACGCCGAGCACGTCACCTTCGTCTGCGCCAAGCCGGATCACCCATTCCATAGCTGCGGGCTCGAGGGTGCGATGCGCGATGATCGTGCCGGGGAGATTGGGCGCAGCTGTCCGGCGCTGAAGGGATTGGTGATGCACGAGCCGCCTGTCACGTTCTGGATGAGGAGCCGGGCGGAGCGGTGGGGGTTGGGCTTTGTCCTGGCCGTTTTCCTAGCGTCGGTGGGTGGGGCCGTCGGGGTATGGATCTGGGTACTGGTGATGGGTGTCTCGGGTGGACACGGTGCGTCCTCGCCTAGGCACACGTGATCGGTGGGGGGTTGGGGATCGTTGTTTACTATGATGCTGGTCTATTCAGCGTCGCAAGTTGAGAGTGTTTTTATGGGAGAGGAAGAGGCCAGGGATGAGGGATTGAGCGGGTGGGGACTGGGTGTGTCTGTACCTCAAAGTCGTTCCGTGTTGGTCAGCAAAGGATAGCAACGATGTAGCGCCAATAGGCGCAAGGTTTTCTTAGATACAGTGGAAGATCGATCGAGTCCAACACCTACCCAAGAGTGTACTATGAAAAAGCATCGAGTGATGAACCGCACCGGTATATGTACAAGAAGCGCACTCTTACATATGTTCGTCTTCTTCACCTGGGGGTGCGGGCCCGTCAGGCCCATCTATCGCCCAAATCTCTGGAGGCATCAACCTCTTCCTCTTTTGAACCCTGGACTCTTGAGCGTGCTCGAAGTCGTTGGTTTCTAACATCAGAGCATGCTTGGTTGATATATCCGACCACAAAGCAGCCACTACCGCCGGAAGTCTGTCTTGAAGCTGCCGAGCCAAAAGCGTTGGTGTATCTGGAAGCGCAGTACGGAACGGATCGATGTAGAGCTAGAATCAGAGTGGCGCTCTTTTGTCGTACTCACGTGGTCCTCCTGTGGGGTAGGGAGGTCCGTTGCTGGAGAGCTCAAGGAAGAGCTAGGGCCTTTTGGCTCCATCGAGGCTATTGCGAGGGGTTGAGGATCTTTGCCTGTGGTGAAGCGAGCATTCAACTTTCCAAGCGTTCTAGCTCTCTTCGCTCGATATCTTGAGGAACCACACCTGTGGGGCTCATCGCACAAAGCACATCTGGTGAGCGATGATGTGCAAAGCTTCGTACGATGTTGCCCTGTGCATTTTCCACATCGAAGAGGACAGAGCAAGCGTACGCATGATGACCATACACCTGACAACGTCCACACCGGTCCAGGAACTTGTTGTCAAAGACTTCACAAGGATAGAACTCTCCTTGCCATTGGAGACCATAGGTAATGACCTCGTTAGCCGTTACGGGATGCGAGAGGTCAAGCACGAGCGCTTAACTATCGTCGTTCGTCGTACGCCAGGAGAAGCTAATGTCCTTGACGATATCAATGTGTAAGGAAGGAATTGCCGTGACATTGCCTTGAACCAACTTCATAATCACTACTGCCTTTCGCTTCCGATACCCAAGACCAATCATCTCCACTGTGATGCTCTTCACTTCGACCGCATAGGTCTTGTATGATCCCGTGACGTGGTTTGCAAAGCCTGCAGCTATGTCCTGGTCCCAAAATGGCAGCTCCTCCAAACTCTCAAAAGCGTCCCCCTCAGACTTCTGCCAATCGTGTTCGTCGTTTCCGTTTGCCCTTAGTGCAACGTTGCCATCATCCAATAGCTCGGCAGCAAGAAAACATGTGATGCTGGAGAATGTTTTATCCTCTACGGGTTTGTTCTTTTGCATGACAGCTCCCTTGACCTTTCGCATCAAGACTTCGGCAGGCATGTTGCCTGATTTTCGATTTTCAGGATGACGGCACGCGCGGTATGATCTTGCTTTGCAACATATAAATCTGGGTCTTCGCAAACATCGTAGCCCACAGCCTCTGGTCCGTAGTCTCCTGTCCTGTCTTGCACCAGCCGTCTCTTTTGCATCGCCCCTAGAATATCGGTGCGTCTTTTGTCCACGGCTCTTCCCTCAAGCGCCATTCCTTGCATCTCTTTTTTAATTTTGCTAGCGTTTTCTCTAAGCCTTTGGCTCACAGCATTCCGCTCACGTTCCACCTCTAGCAATTGAGCCTTGAGCTTGCTGGCCCGATTCTCTACTCTGTTCGTATCCTTGCACCAATCGTCTTCGGCGACAGCCTCTGTGTCAGGTCCATAGTAGAACGACACATCGCAGTCGGTTTCTTCTAGTGGCGAATCCGGTGGGGTGTGAGGCAGGACCTCGTTTCCAAAAGCTGTTCCCGCCATTCTGGCCCCTTGTTGTGAAACAGCATTCTGCTGGATGACAAGCTTGAGGTTGAGTTCGCTGTATGAGTCCTGGAGTACCTTGAAGAGATATTGAGGGACTCTATTGTGGAAGGTAGCGGCAGTCTCGGCAGTGATTTCTGCGAGAACCGTGTGGCTTATGAGGTCTCGTTCCTCTACGGATATACTGGAAGTACTGTAAGCGCGCTCGACCTCGACCAGACCCTTCTCTATGCCTTCGTAATCTTGTGCTCTGTTCCCTTGGGTAGACCAGGCGCAACATCAGGCACGCCGCCTGAACAGCCTTGAAGTCGGTGCCGAGCAAGGCTGCGTGTTCAACTATGTCTGCAGGGTTTTTTTTGGGCCATTTCCATTTGGGACGCTGCATGGTGTTCCAAGAAGTAGAGATTGGAACAAAGTTCAGATGATACAACATTGAAATGTGTACTCGTACGTGGGCACTTGACAGGCGTGCGAGTCAGTTGACGCGAATTAGCGTGTCAATCCTGACCCGCTGCCCAGTACGAGTACGAGAACAACAAAATGTTCACGCGGCTCACCCAATCAGCATCTCTCTCGATGTTCTTCGACCTCACTGACTTGGATTGTTCCCGCCATGCCTGCAAGAAGTCGGCCAAGAATAAGTCAACATCGCTCTAAGGATGCAGAAGAACACTTACTCGCACTTGGAGCCGACTTTAAAGCCGTTAACGAGTCCTACAGCAAGAGCCACTCCCAACAACTTCCTACTACGCTTGCCCATTTGATCACCAAGGGCATATCACAAGGCCTTGCCGAAGCTTCCTCTGTTGGATACTGCCTTAGTCTGACTTCGGAAAGCGATAGGGAGCTTCTCTGCAACATCCTACTCAAGCACATAACGACTCAAGCAGCTGCAAAAGCTCGTGACAGAGTTCCTCTTGATGTATACAGCGGCCTTGCCGAGTCCTACAGCTCCCTCCTTCCTAAGGTACTCGAGTTTACTACGGCGCAAAAACTCCTTCGAATGAAACGTGCCTCAGAAGGAAGAAACGCTCAACAGCTAGGACTCCCTCCCAGTGCCGTAGCACAAGAAGTACCTAATCTGGAGGACAACGATGCTCGAACTGTCTCTACACAAGAAGAACAGGTGAAAACCTTCGCTAAAGACGCTACCCAGGACGATAGCCTGGATAAGGATGGAAGGAAGGGAGCAGATGAGGCGAAGGAGGTGGAGAAGGGAAAGGATGAAGCGGAAGGGGAGGAATGGAAGGGCAATACAGGGGAGGTGAACAATGCAAAAAAGCCGCGAGAACCAGCCCTCAACAATGATGTATACGATCCAGAGAAAGCACCCTACCATTACGGGCCACTGAAACATAAGTTTCCAATCACCTTCAGGGTCACGAGCCAAGCGATCGTCAATGCACTGTACGATATGAATCCGTGGCAAATGCGGGAAGCTGTATGCGGTGCAATCAGGAAAAAGCAAACTCATACGCGGAGTTTCGAGGGCGCATCATACCTTTCGGATGTCAGCCTGTCGAGTAGCGGCGACATCTCCGCTGTCACGAATAACGAGAAATGGAACGACCTTCTCCTATTGATCCAAATGTCGAACTGGGACAGAGACATTATCGACCACGGCATTGGAATGAATTTTGGGAGTCACCGGTGCTACCGAGTTCATATGAAAGGAGTCAAGAAGGACAGCTCTCTAAGTGGGGACCTTGGCTCTCGTAAGGAAAAGGCTGCACTGATCAGCGAACTGGTCCGCATCAATACCACCACGCTAATTTCACTGCGAATCCATCACATAAAAGACGTCTACTACATTCGCAGTCCGGGGAAAGGTAACGAAGTGCTAGCGGTAGATTTCTTTGACATTGAACAAGCTAATGCAGCACTATGGCGAGGCCTCTACTACAAGGGGAATCGTTATGACTGCGAAACGGTTGAGAAACACCGTTTCCTTGCGCGATGCAAACATTGTCAAGCGTTCGGCCACAAACCGGGACCTCACTGCGGTCCTCTTCGCTGTGGAAGATGTTCTGACGCACACCGAACCGAGAATTGCTGCATATCTCGGGAAGAAAGATGTGCATTGTGTGCTGGTCCCCATGCATCAGACAACCCGGATTGTCCGGTAACGAAAGCAGAAAATAACAGTATTCGATTCAGCACGGTATCATCCAGAAATTTTCAATCGATGACGCAGCCCGAGACGGCAGTGCCTGCTCTTGTCTTACCAGAACACACGTCGTTCAGCAACGACGCTCTGACTCAAAGTTCAGAGCCTATTTGTGGCCTTCAACAAGATACACGGAAATTACTGACCGAGATTCCTTGTCTCCGTCAATTGATCCAGGGACTAGAAGTTGCTTTGAAAGCAAAACGTCGGAATATCAAGAGAGGACCCACGAAGAAGAAGAAGAAGGAGAAGCGGGCTCTAGATTCGGTCACGAACGGCGCATTTGATGACCCCGGAAGGTCTGCGAAGCGAATTAAACGAGAAGAGCAGCAGCAGGCCGAGACGATGGACCTGTACAGAATACCGTCGCCCTACATTGTTCACCGAGACTGACAGCCTCATTCGCGACCTTGCTCATATCGTTTTCGTGTTTGCATAGAAGGGCCGGGCTTATGGTCAACATGTACAGTACTTTGAGGTTCGTTAATTTAATCGGCTGCCCCGGGAGTTATGCACCACGCTGGAACCACAGCGCGACGCTCCACGGGGATGTTATACAATGGAACACTATATCCACCAGTCCTGAACCTTGAAGTAGAATCGCTGTCAAAAAGACGAAGATACCAATGGCAGAAATCGCTTGTAAGTATGGGTGTGCTGAAAGACCAGACCTCAGAACTGCGAGTCTTTCCGTCTGTACAAGCATTCGAGGCACAGAAATCAAATAGCGCAAATCAGACCGTCTAAATGGAGGAGGTAGGGTCAGTGGGAGAATGATCCATTAGGGCAAACTTCTTGGTAGGAAGGCCGTATGCAGCTGCCTGCCAACTCGCAAATAGCCTGATGTGAAACAGAGCGGATATGATCGCCCGTGCCTACTATACGATTAAGAGGGTCTGGTAGAGTGATTAGACCTGACGGGCTGTCACTCCTTTACAAGACCTGGTCACTTCGTTACAGAATGAAGAGCTCGAAAACTCACTTCACTTCACTTCGTGGACTACTACACCACGTCTTAGCTTTTTCTTATTTCGATTTTTCTTCGTCTCCCACCTCAAGGCTCTCGAGACTCTCAAGACCTCCTCCACCCCACCTCCTCCGCCTCAAGACACCCGCCACCTCAGTACGTCACCTCGATAACTAGACATCTCAACTCCAATAAGACACACGGTACACACTGCGAAGAAATCAAAACAAAGTCAGTGCACACCAATGCATCCTTACCCCTCACATCTCCCAAGAATGCACTCACTACTGACCCCTACCATCCATATCCAGCAGCCATGGAAGAAGACGACCAATACAATCCCAAGCTCACTTACCTTGGCGATTACGCGCAATTACCTATTGACGCTCCTGTCGGGCATCCTCATCGCGTCGATCCGGATAGCATAAAGGAAGACTTCACCAACGAAGATCTCACTACCGCTGATCTTGTGTTCACTATCCTCTTCAAATTCATGCCAGAAGCTTTGACCGCCTTCCTCGATCTGGATCGCCCCAACGTCCATTACATTTAGGGAGGCCGCATAGGCAGCGGCATGGACTTCGCCATCAAGAGAGTCAGACGCGTCGTGACAGTGAATTATAAGACCAATCTGGTTGCCGAAGACACAAGCTACTCAAATATAGATTGGGTTTTTGAACGAGAAGGAAGTTGGAGGTTGGGACTTTCAATACAAGTACCGTATCGAGGGAAAAGCAACTGAGACGTGGACTCCTGTCTCCATAAATTGTGGGGTCGGGCCTGATGAGATCGAGGCTGAGAAGATCATTTAAGGAGCGCCTGGCTTCGCCTTCTCGATCTTCAAGCACGGACCCTGGTGCGACTTAGGTCCAGATTACGAGATCGAATGGTTCAGCGGGCTGTCGCACGGCCGAATTTTTTTGAAGAGACGAGGGGCGCGCTAGGTTTCAGCGGTGAAGCAAGCAGCGTGGAACAGCAGGTGATGGTGACATTGGAGCTCTCAGTGCAAGCGGAAGCCAATCAGAGAAGCTCAGAGAACACAAGACCTGAAGACCTGTAACAACGACCTCTACGTCTACAAGCAATCCACGTGCGTACGAGAGTTGAATTGAATTTACAAAGCGACGACGAAGACACCTCCGTCCTCGGGGTCGCAGGTCACTTGAATGATAGATAGCCGTGATCACTCTTTGCAGATAACCAGTCTCATGTCAGCCCCCAACCTCGAGCATCGAAGCCCCATTCGACAAACCATCAGCCCCATCCTATTCCATCCCCTCCAATCTCACCAAGTAGCACTAACTCCACACGCAACATCCACATCCCGATCCCTCACATCTGAATAACTTCCATCACGATTCGCATCCACAAATTGCACGCGCCCCCAGCTCTCATTGTTCGACAGATAATGCAAAATGAAACGACACACACCCTCCATTCTCCGTCGCAGCTTTCGCAGCGCACTCAAGGGCGAGGCCGCACACGTCGTCCGGGATTTCGAAGCAACACGTGTCGATCGCCGGATACTGGGTGTCGTTGCTGTTTGCCGGGGTTGTCGAGGTCCTCGACGTAGTGTTGGCCGGTGGAGAATTGCGTGTAGGTGGTGGATGGGTCAGGGCTGAGGGCTACTCAGAAAGCAACTTGAGGTTGGAATATAATATTAAAAAAAAGGTTGGAACACCAGTTTCGAACAGCAAAACAGTTTGCAGCGAAGGGAAATTGGTCGGTGGAAGGGATTGTTGAAAGGCCGCTTCTGGACAGATCGAAGGGGAGAAGTGGAACACCTTTTTCATTGAAAAAGCGATGAAAGGGTACAAATAGTAACCTTCCAATTCAAGTTTTCTAAAGATTCTTTCGAAATGGCCACTGGCTAGAAGAAAGATGAGGAGGTATAGCAAGATGAGAGGGAGAAGATTCAAATCTGGGATACAGCATAGGTCAATTCCACGTTTCTCATCCTACGACCCAAGCAGGTCGGTGGACATATATAACGCCTTCATTTAGAGGTAAATAATAGGTGATCTTTACGACCGGCGACGAATCGTGGAGGACGAATTTGTATACCTTGAATTGGTTTGAGTCAAATACCCCACCCATACAAGCCATCAGGGCGTATGAAACATTTGGCGTTCCAAGCCGAGCTTCTGTCAAAGTCTCTACCATGTTCAATTGATCATATGTTGCCAAGAACCACAGGAATGGCTGGTATAGCGCGCAAGACAGCTACCAAACTACTACATGAGTAGAGCGGAAGGCCATGACACGGAAAGATGGCTATTACAAAGTTCTTCACGACGACATCACAACTCCAAAGTCCAACACTCAATCGTTTTTGACGGCGTAATTGCGCTCGATATTCTGCTTTAGATCGCTCAACATCCTAGCATACTTCGGTTTCGGTTTGTAATGCTCGCAATCGCAATTCAGAGCAGCGTATTCGAATTCGAAAGATCGGACGTTCGAAAGCTTCTCAAGCGGTGCGAGAAGGCCGCTGTCCAGAAAGAGTTCCATGGCGCGTTCGTTGGCTGCTATCATTTTCCTTGCGGGGTCCTTGTCCTCCTGCTCGTCTTCGGAATCCGAGTCCGAGCTCATGTCGTACCGGGCGAGGACTTCGATGTCAAACAGGATCTGAAGGCGCACAACGTCTGGCGAGTTGGATAGAATCTTGACAAGCTGGTGCAAAATGGTTGAGCGCCTGTAGAAGGCAAGAAGCCTGGCCTCGTCTTGAGAATTCACTGTCATGTTGTCATTGACGAAGAGGCTTGGCGCAGTTTGGTCCTGCAAAGTTGTATCTCCTGCTGTTTGCCGACCTGTTTCAGCGTCAAGCGTCTCCAACTCCCAATTAATATCCAAGTCGAAGGTGATCTTTTTTTGAACCGTGCCAAGACATGGGGCTCCATGACGCCATCAAGTTCTGGCTCCGCATAATTGGTCAGGCCGTTTGGTTTGAGGACCCCAGTATCCTGAAGGGGATTGTGTCGCCAAACTCTTTCCGAAGCCTTCACGATATCTTTGCCGGACTTCATACAGAGAACGTCGCCAGGCTGCAAACGCATGTTGAGTTCTCTATATAGCAAGGGCGAAGCTTCGCTGTAAATTTGGCGATTCGTGCGTAGGATAGCCGGAAACCTTTGTACATTCATCTCCTGATCTGCGCCGTCTTTCTGTACACTGTTGTGCCCATTTTGCAACTTGCTCTCTCCCAACCGAGGCGCTTCTGCAATCCTTGTCTTACTGGAGCTATCGCAAAATGGGAAGTCCACATCAGAGTCAGATTCATTGTAGTTGTGCTCGTAGAAATTGCCCTGATACTCGGTGCCGTGCCACATTTCATTGTCTGTGCCATCTTTCTTGACTTTGGCCTGAAAACCCCCTGCTGGTACCATGGCATGCATGGCGTGCTCAAAAAAGATTCAGGTGGGTCGAGTAGGAGAATTCGGTATATTTGCCGACGAATCTCTGGAATTGTCGCGCATTAGCTACTGTCAAAAGCACGAGATGAGCACTTTACCAAGAGGTACTCCAAGGAACCGAGACCCAGCCTCCGAGGAAATTTTAGAGTCAGCCATGATGGCGATACAATGGTCAGGGTCAGGCTCTGACAGATAGACAGGACCTTTTCACCGCAGACACTGTGCGCCGACTGGAGTCACTCGAGCGTGTGAGAGAGACGCGTGAACGCTCAGACGAGGCGACTGTAAATACGCGACGTACGATTAGTCATCTCAGCCTTACTGAAATACCCTTATCTCCTAAATCCTTCCCTAGTTGCACTTGCGCCTGCTGCAGTGCCTACGATCCTACAGTTGTGAAACCAGCGCCAGCTCGGCCGCCATCGGCACCTCCATCAGTACCGGCGATGGCGTCGCCAAGTCCAGGGAGTGCAGTAGCACCGCCTGTGAAGCCGTCGTCCAATGAGAGCGGAGACGTAGAGTGGCATCTATAGACATGGTCAGGATGAGTACGCTCGTGGTGAGTATGGTTCTGATTTACCACGGGAGGAGAGCCCCCAGTCAGCTAGGGACTGATGTCGCTGAGCTGTTTGCGCGTTGATATACAAGACGCTGATGAAAAGAGGAAATACTTCTGGCGGGAAACAAAAGTCAGCTTGGCCGTTTCCTGCTGGCGTGTGAGACCCACTCTCGTCTCTCAATCTCTGCCGTTGATGCTCCAGAATTTGGAAATGAATGGATAGGTTTGGGACTACAACATCATACCGTTATAGAAGGGTAATGTTTCGTGTCCAAGACTTTGAACTTTTCAAGAATCTATGGGGGCTTGCAGTGCAGTGCAGTGCTGGGGCCGCGTTTCAAATACGGCCAGGACTGTTGATTCAAGGTTAGGTACCGTATGCCTTTGGTACCACTCGTACTTCAGCTAGATTCTCTGTCAGTGAATGACCAAACAACATTCCTAACACAGGCCCTCAATCTACAAAGCGAACAGCATTCGTCGTTGCAGGGCCCGCTCAAGTATTCAGAATCACTGTCATTGTTTTCTTGCCACAGAACTGTCTCCTTCACAATCCCACCATTTGGCGAACATGTTCTCCAGGGAGGAGTACTGCGCTGTATGCGGTTGTCTCTTCAGCTTGCCCAAAATTCGAGATCCTGTACAACCAGATCCAGATGAAAATCCCTTGCTACCTTACAGTAATCCCTACGACTCACGCCTTCTCCCTGAGAGCTGACTGAAGTACGCCGCGGCTCTGCATACACTGACCAGAAACGTGGCCTACGCTGACTGGATAAGTAGTGGCTCACCGATTTTCGAGTACTCGGACGATGGGGAGAAATGTGAGCTGACTTCTCAAGCTACTTTCGTCGTAGAGAGCTGACAAAAGCAGAGACTCCACCTTCGTGAATGTAACCTCCGACCCCAATTTCTTCCTATCCCAACCTGCAATCTGGGATTACGGCATGGGCGCTGGAGAGCCTCAACTCCCAATCATAGCAGGCAAGACAGCAAGGATAACCGTTCATGAGCCCGTGGACCACGGCGATGGCATGCTCTCTCCCATACACAAAGCCTGCCTCGATATCCTCCAACGATTATGTCAGATCCGTCAAGCGCAGAACGAAGCTTCCGCTTCGGAAGAACCAAAAACGCTTGACGCTTTTTGCGATGCCTTACGTCAGCGGAGGTGGAGGAACTTTATTGAGCCAGATAAGTCAACAAGTGAGGATTACTATTACGCTAAGTCTGGCGGGATAGAATGGCTGCATAACTACTACGGTGCAAGACAGTTCTGGACTGATGAATGGGATACGGAGCCTGGATGGGAGGTACGTTTGGCAAAGCAATGTACAGAGGCCAGGGACCGCCTTCTTGCTGACTTCTTACTATTATCAGCTGTTATGCGGCGACCCTTCGCGCCTGACAATACCCGGCCTGACTCCCTACCTCCTCTCCGAGTTACCCAAGTTACCATCCACATCTACAGCACAAACAGTATCCAAAGATCAAGTCGCCGATCGTCTTGGCTGGCTGTTTCCGGAGGAGATCGATGCAATAATAGGCAACGACACGGGTGTGGCGACTGGGAGCAAGGCATGGAAGCATTAGTTCAGAAAGCGAACATGATGAGTGCTGACGAAGGCGGAGTGGAAGAAGGGAACAAGCAACTTGCCTCTGCACCACTTGGATTGAAAAATCGATGGAGGATTTGGAGATCCAACAAAGCATTGAGTTCCGACAAGACATTTGATTGTTAGACTGAGCGATCAAACATCGATCTGAACTCCAGCTGCCCTCTAACATCTTTTGCGACTACCCTTTCCAGGTGACCGCTCCCTAACCTCCAACTCATTCCCAAGAGTGCGATCCTCCACTGATTATTTCCATGAGCTTCAAAGATAGTTGTCAAGAACACATCAAGCCCTGTTCACTATAGCAAACATAATCGCGATCATGTCCATACCGATGAGCTTCTCCATCGCGCTGGTCTCCAAACCTCCCTTCCTAGACCATTACGCCATCCATCACTTCGCGGTCATAGCCCCATGGCCTGACCCTTTCCTATCCATTTTAAAACCCGACCTCAAAACCCGACCTCATAGTGCCGTTCCCAACCAACCCAGCAGGCCCAGTTCTCGCCCCAGTTTGTCCGCCTTCCAAACCCCCCATCCCTACCAGCGACCTTCCCCGTAACCTGAATCTCCAACCAATTCCTATACTCCGTCTTCTCACGCCCACCATTCTCTCTGCCGCCCTGCAGTATCTCGTGCACGTACCGCGCCGCGGTCTCAGATACAAGCTCCGCCATCTCCGTCAACGTCACAGTATCGTATGACGACCGACTGTCAACAACGACTTCCGCATAGGAAACCTCGCTCGACTTGGGAAGATGGACATAAGGACCTAGTATCGGCTCGCCGGAGAAGTGTTGAGGAGATTGCGCTTCGGAGATGGCGTCTAGGAGGATGGCGAGTTCGTGACGGTGGGGATGAAGTGGTTGGGTGAGTAGTCATTGTTCAGGAGTGGACGGCGGAGGCGATTGCGATGAGACGGAGGGTGAGGAAGAGGAAGAGGGGGTATTGAGGAGGTGGGGTGGAGAGGGTGTTGAATAGTGATGCGTGGCGATGGGAGGCTGGAAGGAAATCATGGCAGTGGTGTAAAGGAGCTAGACATGGTTACTTCTGTTGCTGAATAATAGTTGGAAGTGCGCGAGAGTTCTTGAGTGCCCAAGCTTGACGCATACCGCAGAAGGCTCTATGTGTGATGTCTAGGGCACGATATCAGCCTGTCAGGCTGACTACAATGTCACAGTGTCTAGTATTAGGGTTGGGGACTGTTGTAGGTGCATTCATTCCTTTGCTATTTTTTCTATCATCGGACTTGCAATCGGGGGTATCGTATCATCCGCAAATTGCTAGCAAAAGCTGTGACACCTCCGTCTGCAGGTCCCTGGTAATCTGGAGTTCTGCTTGTAGGCCCATCCACTTAGCGAGGACCATGCTTGACGGCCCAATTCTTCTCGATCACGTCCTTTAGATCCCGAATGATGTTCAAGTGTTTCTGCTGCAGCAACATGACCGTCTCTCCAATCCAGACTGTTGCAACCTTGAGTGAGAAGCATTTGACGTTCGAGAGTTTTCGCAAAGAATCCAGGACACCACTCTCGATGAATAACTCTGCGGCTCTCTCATTAGCAGCATCCCTCTTCTCATCATTCTTTGCGCCTTACATTTTCGCATCTGACCTCGAGATCGAGGTTGACTTCGAGGTGTCGGATCAGTGGTGACTTTGACACCAGATCGACAAACTTTTGAATGATTTCTGCGGTTGACGGTTGGGTAACAGTGACGCTGGAAATGGTGATATCTGCCACGTCTTTGAGTGTTTCCCTACGACCATTGTCAAAAGGGCGGCCGGACATGGGATCCTCAAACCATCGCGTGATACCCTTGGCTGTGGTCAGATACGAGACATACTTGGCTGCGTCATCGGCTCTTACACTCAGATCATCGTTAATGAAGAGGCATGGAGCAGCGTCGTCACCCTCAAAGAAGAATTGGGCGTTGTAAGATATCCTCTCAAACCGCGCAAAGACGTGAGGTTCCACGGAGCCGTCCAAGGGGCACGACTTGTACACCGTCTGGCCATTGGAGTCTGTCAAACCAAGACCCATGTGTGGAGAATGACGCCAGATCTTCTTGGTTTGTTTCACAACAGCGTTGCCAGGAACATCCGTCACTGCATCACCAGGATTCACATCGAGGGTGAGATCCGAGTGGAGCAAAACGGAAGCTTCATTATAGATCTGACGGTTCGTGCGAAGGATTGCTAGATGTCGCTTGATCATCGGCTCTGTCCCGAACATTCCTCTCGAGGGACCGCTTTCGTTCTCGCTCTCGTCTTCGTCGTCCATTCGATCAAAGCCCCTGTCATCAGAATGATCGTCCCCATAGTCGAACATGTCATTCCCGAAGGTCATACTCATAGCACCACCAAGGTTATAAACGTCATTGAACATGCCGTCGCACATGTCGCCCATGGGGATGCCGTACGGGTTGAAGTCGTCCAAGTCGAACATGGCATCCTCAGAGTCTGAATCACGGTAGACGTCTGTGTGGAAGCTACCATAGCCCATGCTACCAGAGTCCATATCCTCATCCTCCGGTCCGAGCCATGTGTGTTCGTACTGATTTGGCTTCAAGGATGCGCGTGGAGGATCGAGTAAGAGGTAGCCGTATATTTTGAGACGGATCTCTGCCGGAGAAAGGTCAGCTAGAAGCGGTGAGGGTATCAAGGCTAGAAGTCTCTCACCGATTGGGATACGAAGGAAATGGCAGGCAGCCCTGGAAGCAGTCTTGGAAGCAACTGTGGAAGTAGCTGTGGAGGCAGCTTTGCGCATGGCTTTGCGGGTAGCTTTACGTGTAGCTTTACGTGTAGCTTCACGCGTAGCTTTGGGTGCGGCTTTGGACGCAGCCATTGGTAGAATCTTGTGCTTGGAGCGCCGAGACATGATGCTGATACGACAGGTTCAGTTGCCTTCAAATGGCATTGCTTGATGGTATCTGGTATCGTCAGACGCGCGCTCGACGCGTGAGTAGCTTTGCCTCAGTCCAGACCGCCATTGCCTTATTCCCCTTCGGGTTAGCTTCGCTTACTAAGCCCCTTCGGGTTAGCCTGCTGACTCGCATCTTAAAGGCGGCAGGTCTGAGCGCAAAACCTCGTAATTTTGTCAGATCCGCACTATTTTGGCGTACGTCTCATACAAATTTTGAGCTTATATTTTTGAGTATTAATATCACTTGCGCGACGTAATTGTAATTTAATTTCTATTATAACAATTTATTTCTTAACACGGGGTAATAGTTTCACATCTTCCGTCGAATACGCTATTTTTAAGATCATCTCTTAAGAATCCAGCGACGTTGATATGAGCATTCAAAAATCCGCAGAATTAATACCAAATTTCGAGTATTACGCGACAACAATCATAATTAATTAGCCGAGATTTCTTTTATCAGAAGATCTGTACGTATATATAAGTCTTCGAAGCACGTATTGACGTAAATAATCAAGTGAATTATGGTACGCTGGCACTCGAGGCTGATTTGGCTTCAAAATACCAAGAATACCAAGGAATTTATATATCAAGAATATCAAAAATGCCAAATCACCGCAATGCGCGTAAGTTTTCAAAAAAATAGAAAAAAAAAAAAAAAGGAAAAAAAGAGAGTAACGGAGAAGAATAGAAAAAGTCAATGATTACTTATGCGCACGCATATATATATTTATATATGTGTGTGTGTATTGCAAATGCACGGCGACACGCGTTGATTTGTTAACGTATTTTAATACACTCAAAATACGTAGTTAAAATTCGTATTCAAGTTAAAAATGCGAAATTATGCGGGATTCCTTGTATTTTATTAGAAATAAGCCGGATCTACGCGTAAGATTAGGATTTGCCCTTAAACGGCTCCTTTAGGTTTCGTAGTAGTAAAGAAGCTAACCCGAAGGGGCTTAGCGATCTTGGCACGTTCTGAGGGACTGAGGCAAAAGTAGCTTACTGACACTGTATGCATTAGTCATCTCAGCCTTAGGGCTTTGGCAACCAAAATCTATATTTTGATTTTCGTTAGTTAAATACTAGCTTTACGGCCTAAATACGTGTATTAAAATATTATATAACCTTGACGTTAAGATTAAAATCTATTTCAGCCTTAAGGGCAAAAAAGCATATTTGTTTGCAAACCGATTTCGACTTTAGTTTTTAAAAAATGTGCGCTAAATTAAAGCGATATCTACGTGAATTATTAAAGAAAATAACTAATATTGAAATTAAAAGCGATTTAAATTTTACGCAATTAATATAGAAGTATAAATACGTTATTCTCTTTAATATGCACTTTTGATTTATATTAAAAATTATTACGATGTTATTCGAAAATAGTACGGGCTGTTTGGGGCTTAAGGGGGCATTTTCGTTACGAACCGAATTCTTGGCACGTATAATACCTGTGCTCGAAAAGAAAGTGTATTTTAACCTGAAATTCTGAAAATGTGGGCTTGAATTTGGTTGCCAAAGGGGCCCTTAGAGTAAGCACGTCGGCATGTCGGCCTTTTCTCGCGCCTCCTTAGCGCCACCAGCGCCTCCTTCATCTTTTCCAGCCACGCTAAAACATAAAGTACTCATAGACATTTTACCCAGTCAATGAAAATGATGTGGCCTGGTCTTTCCCTGCGTCTGCAATACACAAGTAGTAACGCCAAATCGCCCTTCTCGAGACCAATACTCTGTACACGTATCCCAACTAGGTCGTGTTTCTTGGCAGTGCCTATGTCTGTGGGCTTCACAGCATAAATAGATCTTCATAAGTTGATATTCTCTTCTCGTTGTAACACCACCACATATCAGTTCCATACTACGTCCATTATCTGACATCCTCTTACCAAGCCTCGACGAGTCAACCCACGTTTGAAAATCCCAGTTTAAGCAGGCAAGATGACGGTCAATCCACTTTTTGGTCTCCCTCCTATCCCTCACGATCGTGCCGACGGTCTTCGCCGCTTCTACCCCAGCTCGCCAACAGCCAAGCCTGAGGACCTCTACCATGACTCCATCAACGCCTGTACCCTTCCTGGCCTTCGTTTTATCCGCAACGACAATTCCCGCGAGATGCTCATCTTCATTGATGGCGCCTGTTCGAACAACGGGACACCACAGGCTCGTGCGGGTTACGGAGTCAAGCTGAGCGCTCGTACCAACTTTGGCAGGCGACTCGAAGGCAGTGGTCCGGAGACATCCAACCGTGCCGAGTTACGCGCTGCTATTGTCGCACTGGGGCTGAGGATTTGGAATGGCGAGGGTTTTGACAAGGTGGTTTTGGCGTGCGACTCGGAGTATGTGGTTAAGGGGATATCGGCGTGGGTGTCCAAATGGAAAACGAATGGGTGGCGGACTGCTCAGCGAACTCCGGTGGAGAATAGAGACCTGTGGGAGATGTTACTTACGGCATTGAGGAAGCAAGATGATCGAGGAGTGATGGTTCAATTTTGGCTGATTCCGAGGGAAGACAACGAGGCCGATCCTTACGCCAAAGCGGGCACGCTTGCAGAGAAAGAAGAGAGCATGAGCGAAGTAGTGGGAGTTTTTTGAAGGGGCAACCTGCCTCTATGCACCATAGCCAATTTCCGGTCAATCAAACCAAGCACTACTGGACAGTCCTTTCACTGATAGGTCAGCGGCAGACCTTGTTGCTAAGAGTGACGCCCGTTCTATTACATAGAAGAGGGATGCCAACCCTGTCACTTTGCTTTGGGCCAAAGTTGCTAAGGACTTTTATATGGCAGTAGAGTATCTTTCTTGCTACGGTTTACTGAACGAGCCTTGGTGAACGACTTAACCAGGCTGTTCCAAAAGCCTTTTCCCAACGTGGTCTAGTAGTCTTAATCTACATGTACATCTAGTCAACACAATACACTAGCCAAGTGACGAAAAGATATCAAAAATGTATTAGCCATGATCTTGCTCTGGTTGAATGATTTTCTGCGCGAGGTCTTAGGATTGGAGTTAAACAAGTAAGGACATTGAGCATAGGGTGTTAGCTGTCGAAATGGTAGAGTCAGATCGTATCTAGTGAGCAGCAATTCTCTCACAAATGATGGAGACAGAGTATCAGTACAGGGAACATGGTGTTTCTGCAGAAAGCACCAATTGTTTTCTGCCGAGGTAACCCCGCATTTTGCCATGTCACCAGTTTGCTGTTACTACGAGAATAACCATTATCGCGTAATATACATTAGCTACAACTCTAGCAGACTCATTTTTTCAGTTGTCCTTTTTCGTTCTTAGGAACAAAAGCTTACGCCGGTCAATGGAATGGATCAAGAAATCAGAATTGGTTTGAAGGGAGAGGAAGGAGGCAGAGAAGATATAGCAAAGGAAAAAGACCGGCAGCAAGGTACGGGATCGTGCAAAGTAACAAATGAGGTGAATCATCGCAATGGAGGCCCACTGCTCAGCCTACCGAGAGAGCTTCGTGATGAGATCTATGGCTATCTCCTCGCCTCTGGTCATCTCCAAGTACTAAGAACCTCTCGTCAACTCAGCCAGGAAGCGCAGGAGTCCCTATATCCCAAGGCCATATTCAGGATGTATGTGAATTCCACAGATGGTTCTCGCAACATCAAGCCAAGCGAAAACGTGGCCGATCAGATTCAGAACATAAAACTTCAATGGGACCTGTCCGACCACGATTGCTCACGCAATGCCCACGAACTCATTGACTTCTGCCACAAACAAGGAGAAATGCGAATGACGTGTCATGTCATACTTTTATTTGGCGTACGGCGAGCGGCACTTCTAAACGCCAACGACATCTCCGCCCTACGGAGTTCGAGAGTATTCCGAAATGTGGTCCTAGAGACTATTATCAAGGACTCGACGCAGGAAATACCGAGCGGCCGTCGTGCTAAATTGCGAAGTCGAATCCTCAGCATGTTCAGAGTACTAAGTGATGAGCTGGGACTAACTTTGGGACCTGCAGACCACAGGGGAGATGTAGATGCACGGCATCTAGTCTTTCATCCTCCCAAGATGTTGGGAACCCGTTTTGATGAGCTTCCACCTTCAAATACGGCTTATTCTTGGTAGCCAGGGTCGCCAAATCTATTTCTCGGTCTATAGATGATCTTTTGCAGAGCCGGGACTCTCATCAACCTAGTTCATATGTCTCGTAAAAACCGCCATAGAATATACCGCCAATTGTCTCATCTTTGTACCTGTTTTTGCCTTTCTGTACTTCCTATCATTCGTCATTGCACTCAAGCGCATAAAACTAATATCTACGGCTTCTTTCTCTCGGGTTTGTGAACATGCTTAAAATTTCGAACATTTCCAATATCAGACTTTCTCGAGCGTTCTCGAGTGTTCTCGGATCTGCTTCGAAAGCATTGTCGGCAACGAAGGTTATCAAGTAACAATCATGCGCTCAAATGGCAACAGTGCCTGATTAGACATCACAAGGCGCAATACATATGGATCGAAATCTGGGCGACATGCCAGAAAGATGCGAAAGTTGTGTCGAGATGGACGGGATTTTTTTCAAATCATGTAAATGGCCCAAGACTATCCACTTGCTAGACGAGGAAGAGCGCGTGTATGCGGAGTAGAAAGTCATTGGCCACCTCAAGAGGCTCGGATTGCTGTCATTCGAACGACAAAAACGGAGTCGTGTTTACCAACCTGATCGATGGCGCCGAGGTAAGCGGTCGAGAGAGAAGGATGAGCTTTCGCCGGGATTTCACAGCTTGGGATTTCAGGGCAGGGAAAGAGTTTGACAAAACGTTTCAAGCGAAGGGCATGACGGCCCTATATTCAATACCTGGGTCTCCAATCACAGGACCGCTGGTCGCGACAACACATGCAACAGGATCACAAAAACATGAAAGGGCTAATGCCTTGTTCAGTAATAACTGGTGAAGCGTAATATTTTGCAAAGCTTCATTCTTCGCTTTACTGTTTCACGTGACTGACAACAATTACCACAATGCGGTGATATAAAATTAGAATGTGACACACATGTCACTTTCAACCCTACGAATTCAGCAGTGTTAAGAAGGCCACATACTATATAACCATATCTTCTTTGTCAAGTCTACCTGATTTTCCAACGCACATCAGTGTCCGAGATACCAGTTTCCACATACTACCACGGAAAAGGAAGTTTAGGATTAAGGCAGACTCGAAACCGCTCATGCCGGACAACCAGGTATTTCCTTTCCTCACGCTACCTCCTGAAATACGCGTCACGGTCTACAACTACGCGTTTTCGGATTTGGGGGTTCTTCGCTCAGCTGCAGAAATTGTCTCGACCAATGACGAATACATCCACAAAGTACGGTCCTACCCGAGAATTCTGACTTTTGCGAGCTGGTGTTGGTTCCTTCGACCTGGGCAAACTCACGCACACCGTACACATACAGAGCAAGATTTCATCGTTCAGCTTTCAAATAAGGACGCTGTACCCATCTTGAGAACATGCCAATTGGTCTTCCAAGAAGCAGCACCAATCCTCTATCAGACAAGTGCCTTTCACCAATCGATTAGTTCAGGAACTACCACCTGTCTGGTCTTAGATGAGTTCCAGTGGATACGCCATCTGAGCATCGACTTTTCTGATGCCTCTCCCCAGACGCTGATGTTCGAAGACCTACAAAGATACGACGTGGATCAAAAAGTAGCAGCGTTCGTGGATCTCATCGCCACGGGATGCATGTCTCTGGAGTCCCTAACTTTACATATCATCGCGACAAGCGGCACCGATAAACTTCTTCTTCGAAGTTCTCACGACAGTTGCAAGGCACTAGCAAAGCTTGCACCGAGCCTTGAACGTCTGTCGATCATCGCACCAACTACGACCAAATCGATGCAGACAATGTGCGAACTAATCGCACCGCTCCAGGGTTGGAAAATTGGGAGATCGCGTCAATGGCCGCTTCGCTGGCCTCTTCTCACGGTACCTGTTGCGCAGCTCGAAACCATTCGGGCTGTCACAGACAAGTCCTGCCTTGGAGACTATGTGACTCGAAGGGATTGTATATGTGTTCAGATTGCAACGCTGCAGCCTGAGTAAGATTCCACGAATGGAAGAGTATCCTAGGTTTGTAGAGCTACGGGGCATTCAATTATCTAGTCTCTGCCCGTGGAAACCAATGGAAAGCGAGAAACGGTCGTACTTTCCAGTGGCCATTGGCTGGACATTCATGGACGCGCTTCAAGAGGGCTGTGAGAAACGTGCCTAGTGCTTTCCTTTTCGTTCTAGGCATGTGGTTGCCACTTTTCTCCATGTCTGTGTCATACCTACCTTATTAGCCAGCTAGACGCCACCAAGAAACTGTGTACCTTCCACCAGACCATGTTATTAGGAAATGCGCACAAGAGTACTGCGGGGTCGTATGGCTCGATATTGGTTTGGTCGATTGTCATCATTTACACCCTCAGGAAGGGTTTCAAGTTTTACGGTTTTCACTCGTGGTCTGCCAAGTAGATTTGTAGTACTGCCAGTCATGATTGCGTTGTGGCTTTGTGCAACCTTTACTTGAAACTGAGGCCCATCGATGTCTGATAACATAGTGGTCTATTTCCGGTCGGAAGGCTCGGAAGATAGTTGGCAGCAATCCGCGTGAATTCGTCGGGTTTGACACTTCGTACGTGTCGGCATCTCCTACAGCTTCTACTTTGCGTCCACTAAGGCTTCACACCTGCGACATCAAGTAATCCAATCAACACTATTCCACGTTAATGAGAATGGCTTCCCAAAGCGCTACAGCCATACCCCTCACCCCTCTTCCCGTCCAGCCATTCAGATTCATGGACCTGCCCACAGAATTGCGACTTCGGGTGTACGAGTACGCCCTCTCCGGGCCCAAGGACGTCACACTCCGCTCCCTCATGGACCTCCAAGTGCGCAAAAATCGACACGGACAGCGCGTACGACCATCAACCGGCCCCAGGATCCGAAACACCGGCATGCTTATGGTATCGAAGAAGGTGTCTACGGAAGCTCTGCCAGTCTTTTACGACACGAACCAATTCCACTACACCATCCTCCCCACCGTGCCCTCAGTCCAAGGTGTCCTTCGCCACTTCATGACGCATCTCCACTCCATGCAGCACGTCAGCATCGACTACATGCTGCATACATCGGCATCAGACATCAGCGAAGTCGACCGGCTCGTATCCACGCGCGTCCGATCCGTTATCGACGGTTGTCCCAACCTGCGGACCTTCACGCTGCATCTCCTGACCGTTTTCCGGAAACGAAGACTTGCACCGAAGCTTACGGGCCGGCGGCCGGGCGGCGCTGGAGCTTGCGAGACTGGCGGCTCGACTGCGGGATCCGACGTACTGTTTGATGTGGATGATGATCATAACGCACGGCAACCGTCGCGCCCTTATGGATCTTGGAAGGGTGATTGCACCGGGTGAGGGCTGGTTGGTTCGCGAACTGGACGAGTGGCCTGGTATTAGCATTGACGAGTATCAGAGGGTGGGTATGGAGGAAAGAGCTGATGATAGTGCTGCGGGTCAGAAGATTAGAATGTTTTGCTTGTGGCCGGCTTTGCGGAGATGTGTTCTGGATCGACGGGAGAATGTTGGTAAGACGGCCTGATGGTGAGGTTCTTGGGGATCTAAGGAAAGGTAGATAGATGTATACCTTCAGAGTAGCCTCTAATTGAGTTAGGTTCGGTCGTATGTTTCATGATAAGACGTATATAACGAGATGATGATGGGTGAGAGGGCTCAAGTGTGACACTCGCCGTCTGTAAGCTTCTGGAGTCATTCCTTGGAAATTTTGCATCGTCTAGCACATATCATTGACAGGTGAATATTCCAAGCACAATGCAATGCAAAGTCTCAAAGAATGTTGTTTTGAAGCAAGCCTGCAAATCGAAATGAAGTACCGTACACGTCTCGGGTTCCTCCCTGTATAGTATGGGATGCTTGAGACCCGGCTGTCTTGACTCCAAGATCTCCTCCCTGCCGCTCCTTTCACTTGAAAAGCCAGTCCCCTTCCCCTAGGGAGCCGCCCTCTTCCAACCTCCGAGTAACATGAGGCCCATAGATATGAAACGCCGAGATGTGATCCGCTTCCGAGAAATAGAAACCGGCAAGAGAATGCCTTCGAAGCCCAAACGGGACGGTCCCCGGCTTTGCGTTGGCCCCCTGCAGCTGCCTCGGGAGCTTCATCCGCGGCCATTCGGAAAATGTCTCGGTGACCCAGGCGCTGTCGACGTTCACGATGCCTCGTCGAAGACCGAGAAGACCGTCGGGCGGATTGAGAGTGACGATGCTGAGCCTGTCGACGCGAGAGCGTAAGGCGCGCAGGGCCTTTGCCGTCGCGGATTTTTGCGTCAATTTGGACTGCAGCTGGCTCAACGGAATAGTCGTCTTGTAGGCAAGTACGGGTATGTGCAATGTAAAGCTGACCAGTTTGATGCAGTGCGTGACGATGTTCCGTACGTGTGTGGCGAGGATGCCATCGACTCCATTGCCGGCTTCCGTGGTGATATCGAGGCTGAGGTATTTCACCCACTTCAGGCATTCGGCCGGGATGGTAGGTTGGCGGAAAAGACCATCGCGCTCGGTGGAGTAGTGAAAGGACTGGCTGGTATAGAATGCTGGCAGTGCTTCCGCGCAGATGGTCTTGCAAGTTGTGAGGATAGCAGTGCTGAAAAGCTTGATTTTCTGGATTTCGGATGGCAGTCTTTGGTTCGTGAGGTCTTCAAGGCGGCGAAGTGTGCGTTTCCGGCGAGTGCTGAAGACGTACGCGTAGACAGTGAGACGTAGCTCTATTGGTAGGCTGAGGAAGGGGAATGGAGATTGCGTCAGTGCTGCTGTGACAACTGCGTGGCTGCTCGAGAACCTGCCCTTTGGATTCCGTTGTCTGATCATGGTGGGTCGAGGCATGGTGAGCAGGATAACAAAGCACGATGAATACGGGAGATGAAATAATGGGGGATATTCTATAGTGAATGCCACGCTTGTGTTTGCGGTGCCGAGGCTGAAGAGAAGTTTGTGTTGACAGCGGAGCAGTCCCTGTCACGCGGCCATTATAGTGTTGCCAGACTCGCCACTGCCTAACTTCGGACCGGTCGTACTTAGATGGGAAGCCAATGGAACTGCAAGCCCGCCATAATTTTCGGAAGGCACGAGATCTCTCCTTAGTTCCTTTCTCTTTCCCAGGCAAGGTGAAGATATCTGTTGCACTCTGCACTGAAGGGTCCTTGTCATCAAACCGGACAAGACGACACCCACACATCTAGACTCTGGGCTGGCTCTCCCAACATACAAAATAAGGTAATGATGCTCAGATCCATTCACCTAAGTGTTTGCATGTAGGTTGACGCGAAGAATTACTACCGCGCTGTTAAAAAGTTAAGATAGCAGGGCGACAACGCTTCGCAAACTGTTGAGAACCCCACTCCTGATTCGTTCATCAGTGCGACTGCAGTCTCTACACCGGTAAAGCGGCTGGCCCAATATTCACAATATTTGTTCCTTGGCAGCATTCATTTTGCGGGTGGTTGACCTCGTGTCGGATAGCGCACCCGGGTGAGGCGGCTTCCGTGAACAATCTCCAAGTTATTCATCCCAGACTGCGCAATGGATACGTTACATGCTGTCCATTACTCTGCGAATGCCCGATAAATTTGCTTTCCAAGCGCGGCGGATTCGTGTATTGTGTATGGACGTATGAGCCAGATGTACTTGGCCACCAAGGTAATGATGACAGGCGGCTCTACGGATACCCTCAAGCATCACCTGTACCGATTTCCGCATGGTAAATTGGTAGACGCAAGGATTGTAACGCACGTACGATGCATTGACAGGAGGATGAAGTCCCAAAAGTTGGACTATGTGGACACGCGGGTGAAAAAAGCCTGCAACCCAAAATCTCAAATCCAACGCAATTTGCCAACGAAAGGCAATCAAGAAGATTTTGCTCTGGAATATACAGATACCGTATTAGCATAACAACAACATTCATGGCAAAGTATTAGCTTGTGAAGAGGGCTATTGAAGCACACGTATTTATTTCAGTTAGTACATGGTAGAAGGATTGCTTGGCCGTGTGCAGGCCCTTTTTGACTGCATGTGGACAATGCAATCCCAGTGATTTTGCGCTAACAGTTGCGGTGATAAAGATATCCAATTTCCTCGTTCTTTATGTAAATGCGCTTTGATCAAGCCTTGTTTTGTTACGGTTGGAGGGTACATGTACATGTATTTACCGAATCTTAAGCGGGAAACTCAATTTGGAGCGGCGATGATTGCGCCGCTTGGAGCTCAATTTGACAAGACTTGTGTCAATACGGGTTTTAATTGAGAAGACTTGTGTCAATACGGGTTTTAATTGACGGAGTCTTTGTTTCATGATTGGTGAATGGCGGATGGCGGATGGCGGATAATTGCGGAGATGCAGGAGTCGTGGCGAACGATTCTTCTGATTCGTTCCTTGAAATATTAGAGGGGCATTAGGGGGGAATAGAGTTTGAGGCTGACGGGTCTCAGGGGTCGTGCCGCGGCCCTTTCCTCCACTCAAATTTAAGGTAAGGCAGTGACAGGGATCTAGTGCGGGGGAACTGGGATGGGAAAAGCCACTTCCGCCCCCTATGTGTCCCCCCCCTGTTTGGCCCCCTATGTAACCCCCTATTTCATGCTTGTGCCAAATCTCGACCTGCTTGATCCAATTAAACTCTCATCACCGCCACAAGCTCTCACCGACTCACAGATTCAATTATATCCAATCATGACCCATGTTCCTTTTTCACTCTTTCAATCCTTCAAATCTCTCTTTGCATGTAATCCTTTCATTTGCTGGCTGCGCTTCCCAATCATTTGCGCAGCCTTATGGCTTTGACACAGAGATTTCCACAATTTCCTTAGCTTCGTCCGTCTCACTCTCACGTAGAGTAGGGCAACGCAACAAGATAAAGCACATTCACCGTCTCCGGCCTCATTTCTTTATCTCCTTCTCAACCACCACAACACAACATTTTCTTCTTTGTTTCATTGTCTCACTCTCATTTACAAAGGATCAGATGCAGGCACCTCGACTTTGATCATTCAAACACCACCACAGTCTTTTCATCATGTACATGCTCAGCATCACCTTGTTCCTGCTTTCCGCCGTGTCCGCAATACCGGCGCACCTGCCTCACACTCATTTCAGCATACAAAAGAGAACCCTGACACCAGACAACACCTGCGGAGCTGCTAATGGCTATATCTGTAACCCCAACGACCCGTATGGGGGAAGTTGCTGCTCGGCTTCCGGATGGTGTGGTGAGTCTTCCGTTCCGCATCTGCGGTCATTAAAAACTTTGCTGAACTTTCACAGGAAACTCAGAGGCATACTGCGCGACCGGATGTCAGTCGGCCTTTGGAAGCTGTGCTTCCTCTGCTCCTGTTTCTGCATCTCCGCAACCCTCTGCCACTCCGCAAGTTTCTGCAACTCCGCAGCCCCAGTCAAACGGGCCAGCAGTGCCAGGGACCTCACTAGCACCCAGCAAAGAGGGATGCATGTGGGTAGTAGATGGCGCAGGCAGCTTTACGCACTCGCAGACCTTTGACTTCTCCACCTTAGCATCTTTTCCCACAGATGATCTAGCTATTAGCACCTACACCATCGGATCATCGCCATACACCCAGCTTTACACCACGTCCAATGTAGCTGTCAACAGTGAAACTCTCCAACTCAAAGTACCCGGAGGCCAGAGCGCATCTCCCATTCTCGGCGCCGAGGTCTCGACTCAAGACGAAGATATTCTCTACGGTAGCGTACGCACTACGATGAAGGCCAGCACAGTCGCTGGCACATGTCACGGCGCCTTCTTCTACAAGGACGACAATCAAGAAGTGGACATCGAGCTCATCACCGGCGATACATGGAAGGGCGTGCATTACACGAATCAGAGAGCCAACGCCGACGCCGAAGCTAGCACAATTCAAATGGCTCTTCCATCGAACGCAACGAATGACTTTCAAGAGTACAGAATTGATTGGCTCCCTGGTCGTACGGATTTCTATCTGAATGGCGAGCTGCAGCAAACACTGACGGACAATGTCCCATCCACTGCCGGGAGCTGGCTGTGGAACAATTGGAGGTAAGCCATCCAGTCTCTACACTACCCCTCATTTTTTTCCCTTCGAATCTAGGGCCAGAGCTAATTTCCTCGTGTTGCAGTAATGGAGATCCGGGTTGGACAGGCGCTCCCCCACTGCAAGACAACATCATGGAAATCTCAAAGATTGAAATGTACTACAATCGCACGAGCAGTGCAGGCTCTTGCTAAGAGCCATATCTTCGATGACTAAAAGTTCGACAAACTGCAACATATGGCAGGGTGTTGGGTTCTTTCCTTTGGGTCTGCGGGTCTGTGATCCGTAACCTTTTTTGTACATTTGTCTGGCTTTTGTACATATGCTGCCGCCCGGTGCGGCGCTATTTTCTCCCACCTAGATATTTTTCTCTTCTCTTCAACCCATTGCTTCTCTTCGAATGTATGTATCACGATAAAAATTATTGTGAGTAAGCAAGCCAAGCTCTGCTGATAAGGTGTCAACGACCGCACGTCTCAATTCCTTTTCTTGAACTCTGGAACCGTACACGCTGGCAAAGATAGACAAAGGCGCTTCGGGACTGCCATCTCCGATCATGCATCACAGGATGAATCGACCGAGCAACGAACTGTAAATGTCAATGCCCTGCTTCCTGCACACAGCCAAAAAAGGTCAAGTCCTTCAGCACGAGCGCCACGCTCAAGTCACCGAGCTCGCCGCGCTTTCACTGCTACAGATCGCGCTAGTGCCGGATCGTAGCCAAGATGAACGGTGTCAATGTTCGCCACGTAGTGGTAGGTGCGGACAGGTCGAGCTCCGAGTGTATCGAAATTGTCGGTATGTAGTAGATGTGCTACGCAAGAATTGGTTGCCTTCTTTGGGTCGAGTAGCATACTTTTTAAACCTCACACAACTCGCACACTCCCAGGGCACAAAGTCAGGCCGATAGATGCAGTCCGTTATTTGGTATTGTCGGAAGAGAACTTACCACAAGCGAGACACATTCGCAAGCAATCGCAGACCATGGAAAGGTATTTGATCCGCTCATCTTTGAGCGCATGTGTAGCCTCGAACACTAAAGATTATCATTCAAATGACCTATACAACTATAGTGTCTGAAACGTTTACTGAATGTTGCCCGCGCCGCTGATGAGGGCGATGTTCACTTTAAACACCACTTCTCACGAATGCTGTTATTCGCAGCAGTTTGTCATGCATCAACTGATTACCATTAATGAGAAGCACTCGGAACTATCTTCGACACTTAATCAAGCGTTCGGTATCAGATACAAGTACATCAACGGTGTCCGCGATATATTGCTGTCTGCGCACTGGCGTCTGAAAGGGTTAATGATTTCAAACCCATTGTTCTTGCTGCTTGAGGGTATGATTAGGAACGCCTGGATCAAGACTGAGTGTATCATAATAAGGTGGAGAGCGTTGAGGGCCCGAGAGCCGCTAGAGAGTTGTCTATTGAGATAAATCTTGGAGTTAAAGCAAATATTGTAAAGAATATTGTAAAGACTTAGCGATCGTATCTGCCACACGAAGACTTTGCCAAATCGTGCCGACCATTTTGCGGTAGCGTCTCTTCGAGTGGCAGAGGGCCGCTGTTAGTTACTATCTGAGCAGCAGGCTTCAGTCTCGTGTGGTGCCTGCGCTACGCTCAGCACTGGCTGCGAGGCATCAGGGGACTTTCGTAGTAATCAGATAACTTGGCTTGAAGTTTCTGAAGTCACTGGAGACGATCCCGGTGAAGCGCGTAGTGTTTCACGAATCCGGCGCCTTATTATATTCCATGAACCACCATATGCACTATTCATTTGGCCCTCACTGATCCTCAACCTCCCAAAAAAAGCTCCTCAGCCTGCCATGTGTGCCTTCAGATTCTTCCCTTCCTGCAATTGCCTATTCGCCAAAGCGCTTCTATCGAACCTAGCACCGTTGCGGGAATCAGTACTAAAGAGTGTCTCGCCCACCCTCGACATTGATAGGAATGCTCTAATCGGCCGTCTTAGCGATCATGAGAGTCCTAAACGTATCCATTTATCTCTATTCAATTAGCCAGACGATACATCTCCGCAGATCTTCACAGATGATACACTACGGTAAATGTGTGCTCTGGTATGGCGCACCTCTCAGCTAAATAACACTGGCCGGGGCCGAGTCCTAGACTCTCTCTAAATCGATACGGATCTTCTTCAACGGCGGTAACAGAGGTGTGATAAAGATTAAGGCGGGAATTTCTGGGCTCCTATCCATGAAAGTCTCCCATCTCAATATCCGAGCTGGCTCTTGAATACCTGACGACGGTGCCTTATACCTACTCTTTCAGAAGAGAGATACGTCGCCTCGAGCTATGTTTGGGGTCAAATGGAGTATCTGATGCCGGTAAGCAGTAGGATAGGAAGATCGCACTTGGCGATAACTTGAGCAGCGAAGGGCTCCTCGGTGGGATATCCGAGACTATCAAAGATGCGATGGGGCCTCCTCAAAAACGGTATCTATGGGTAAAATTTCTTTGCATACTTGAATAACATGTCAGCCATTTACGCAAACGCTTGTGTTGCTATCATCGCTCTATGAGGGTATAACGCGGAGTGCGGACAAAAAGTCTTCCGGGAGTTTTCCATCCCAGGGAGCCTGACCAAGAGATTTAGAATATTATCAAAGATAAAAGACTGAGTGAGTGTTTATTCTCTGAACCTGATACCATTGAAAAGGATAGCCCGTGGTACAATATATGTTGGACTTTTCAAGTAAACATATATGAGCGACGGCGATTAATCGTTAAGGCTGGTCATGTGCGCGGGGAATGTCATCCCGCAGTATAAAATAAGTTTATTTTTAATTTTTTTTTTTTTATTTTTTTTTTTAATACCATTTAAAGTAAATATAAAATTAACGGTTTTTTTTTTTCGGTTTTTATTTTAATTAAAAATAAGGATTTTTAAAATCTCTCCCCCCCCCCCCCCCTTTGGCTTTTTTTTTGGTTTTGGGTTTTTTTATTATTTTTTTTTTCCTCCCCCCCCTTTTTTTTTTTTTTTTTTTTTTTTTTTTTTTTTTTTTTTTTTTTTTTTTTTTTTTTTTTAAAATTAAAAAATATAAAAATTTTTAATTTTAAATTTTAAAATTTATTTTTTTTGTTTTTTTTTTTTTTAAATTTAAAATTTTATTTTTTTTTTTTTTTTTTTAAAAAAGGGAGGTGGGTGGGAGGGTTAAAAAAAAAGGAGGAAAAAAAAAATAAAAAATTTTTATATACTCTTTTTTTTTTTTTTTTTTTTTTATTAAAAATATAATAATAAACTAAGTACGTAGAGTTATAAAATTACGAGGACGTCTACGAAACAGATGGCTCATACCCGAGACTCTTTAGTATTTACCCACTCCAAAGCCCTTAAAGTTTTTTCAATTTTTGTTTTTTTGCGTGCAATGATCTAAGACCGGGCTTGATAAGAATAATAATACCTCTCTTCTAAAACATCGTATTGGTTTTGCTTTTCGAGTTGTTCGGGCTATTGCAGCTCGTTGAATAATATCTAATTCTCGCTTAATAAGCAGACCTAAAAAAAAATTGCAACTTTTATAAACATCGAACGATAATAAGACATTCCCGATCTATCGAGCCGTTGTATGTATTGATGAAGAATTTATTTTTCAGAATCTGTAGGCGCGTAAGAGTGGCTATCTTTAAGGGGGATCTTATTATAGCGATATAGGAGCTGATCGTAGAGCACGTTGAATTGAGTAATCAATCGAGTGACTTTAAGCTTTATTCCGAGGGCAATAGAGACTAAGGCCTATTGAATACGTTCTTAAATAACGGTATATAAGTTAGACATCGTTGTGATTGTGGTAGATAGATAAGGGATAAATGAGTTAAGAAATTGAGAAAATTGATATTGAGGTGGCTTTAGCGTTGAGGTGGCTCATATTAAGTGTAGCGTATTCCCATACGATTACTCGGCAAGCTTTTCACTACTGAAAAGCCCGCGCCCCAGCATATATTTAAATATACCTACATTGATATTGCATCTGTATCGATTCTAATATTATAACTAAGGTTAACTTACTTATTTTATTCGTATTAGCGGATGAATTTAAAGAAACGCGCTGGTAGGGGCTTTGATAAGAAATTAAGTTGAGCTATCGTATTTCTAAATAAGTCTACTAGATAGGTAAATCGATTTTAAAGAGCCTAAATGGGATAGCGAAACGGTCTCGGCAAATAGTGGTTGAGGGATAAATAAGGCATTGGATTATTCGTACGGCTAGCGAATCGAAAGAAATAGCCAATATTATCTCATATTTTCACATTTAAAACGCATACCAGCAGCACCACTGCAACTTCATATATTATAACGTCTAGGGTTTCAATGAGGCCCCAATCAGACAAGAAACGGCCGAGTTACAGCCAATTTAGGATATTATTCTCCGAAACTTCCCCGCATATAACTTCTCTATGAGATAAGGGACCCTCTGAGCGGAGCAAGTGCACTTGAAAGGCTACTGTTTAAAGCACTTATAGTCTTCTTGACGCCTTAAACAGTTAGGAAATAAGTGTGTTAAATTCCCCGCAAAGAAACAATCTCGCCTCGGGCTTCACAGTGAAAATTTTTATTCTCAACACCGAATAATTTCGATGCGCCTTCGAGAAACTTCACTACTCTCTAGTATATCTGATATCCTTAATACCTATTCTTTCGAAGTATTTAAACTCCTCTCCACTTTATTTCAAATCTTCTTTTTCTCTTTTCTATAACAAAGTTTAATATCGAAAGAATAGATTAAATTAAGATCCTACTTAAGTAAACTAAGTTTTAAAGAATATTAGTTCTATTAGATAATATAGCCGACGAGTTCGACTCGATAGAAACGTTTTAAGATATCGCTAATACTCTATAACTATAATATTAAATTAAGTATTAGCCTAACGAATTCATAATTATACTAAATAATATTCGTTAGAAGCGAGACGATTTTCGAAAGATTGCTATTCGATATTATATCGTCGTAATGAAAAAGGATCTAGCTATAAACGATTTATTTTAGATCTATAGAATAATCGAGAAGGTAAACTAACTAGCCCGAGACTTTTAGAAAGATATAACTTTTCTATAGCGAAAAGTTAATAATCTTAATTTATAGTCTATGAAAGACTTACGGCTATTCTCAATTGAGGAGAAACGTATACCTAGACGGTTAAAAGATAAATTAGTTAAGGTCTTAGATC